AAACGTATCATAGTAACATTTTTGAGAAACTCACTTCTTTTTTAAATAAAAAACAAAGATCAACATAAGGATAAAAAAAATAGTACGTGGACTATTTGATAAATACGATGAACTAGTTTTATTTTGTACGTAATTTTTTTCATTTATTTTGTCAGTTTCCCCAGAATTTTCTGATTTTCTTTTCCTTTTCGAATATTTCTGAGACCAGATAGTTAGCGTTATTTTAATTGTAATCAATATTATGATGTTTTAATATCATGATATTAATTTTTTATTTAACTTTGTAACATTCACAATTCAGACATTTTTGACTTTCATCAAATTTCATCTTCTTTCACAACCCATCGATGAAACTGTCGGCAACAACTACATGACTATTTAAAATAATAAAAACTGGCAACCATGTAAATGTCATTTTACTCCGTCTTCTTACTTCTAACTTTAATCCTTTTCCTATTCGAGGTAGGCAGAAACAGTTTTATTCATTTGACTTGATCGTTATTCGAAGCTTATAGCATACATGAGATAGCAGTAACCTGTTCCCGCCTATATATCCATCTCTTCCTACCCTATATCGTGCTCTCTTTCTTGCTTTTCCTACCACCACCGCTAAGTGGGGTGGCGAGCGGTGGATAGAAGAGGCACCATTTTGATTCTCATTGGCGTCAAGATTCCCGCCGACTTCAAACGTATTAAAGATAATACTTTATACTTCGAAAATTTTGAAAAAAACGGTGAATTTACTTCGTCATGTAAGTAATACACATATTTTTAATTATATCTGAATTTTGATCGCATACATTAGTGAAACACATATTGAAGTCCATTGCCTTAAAAAAGCCAATTGCGCAATAGCCACCAATATGGAATGTCGATGATTTAGTTTGTTATTTACAAGGTTGTACATTAAATATGAATAATACCTTTCAAGTTTGTCGGCATACCGCTATGCTTTTACTTCTTTGTTCGGGTCGCCGAATACATGACTTAACCTTATTAAGCATTGATATAGACCACTGTATTCAATCAGAAAATACAATCTTTTTTTTTGGCCAATTTTTGGCTCTAAGTCTGATTCTTATGCTTATAGACAATCTGGACGGAGGTTAATTTCTAATCCTAATCATAGTAATTTAGATCGTGTTTTCTGGGTAAATCAAACAATAAATGCACTTAGCTATAATAAATAATAATAAAGGCACTTAGCTAAATGTAATAATTTGTTTGTTTCTTTTCCAGGTTATCTTAGCCAGGGGCAATGGGCGATCTAGCAACACATTAAACAATTTTTACAGGCGTGAAGTAATGCCTACTTCTGCTAAAAGAAGTGTTACCGATTTATTTGTACCAATTACATAATTAATGTCCAAAATTTTGTGACTGTGATTTCATTTTAAGTTCTCATAAATATAGACTCACATACTCACTTATATTGCTATTAAAAATTTTCCCTATTTAATAATTCCTTCTTCTGTACCTACTTAATATCAACTACACATTGGCGTCCATCGGCGTTAATCTTTTTCCTACCACCAGGCGATAACAGACACGTCTCATGTATACTATAAGCTTCGAAGTAATAATAAGAATAATACGAATAAAGTCAAATTAATAGAAGCGTTTTACCTACCAATAAAACGCATTTACTTACCTTATTCGAAGCTTGTAGATAATTTCTGCCTGGTGCATACATATTCGACACAATGAGAATCAAAATGGTGCCTCTTCTATTCACCACTCGCCACCCCACTTAGCGGTGGTGGTAGGAAAAGCAAAAAAGGGAGCACAATATAGGGTACAAAGAGATGGATATACAGGCGGGAATAAGTGATTGCTATCTCATGTAGCTTCGAATAAGGTAAGTAAATTAATAAGCGTTTTATTGGTAGGTAAAACGCTTCTACTATGTTACGATCCTGATACATATGTCGTATTTTTGACCTTTCTTTAAATTTCTTTATGACTTATAGACAATCTGTTAAACTCACCTGGTTTGTGGAAGGGTCGACTGAAGACAAATTTATTTACGTTGTTATGTTTGTAATACTCGAGTATCTGCTCGGCCACCGGCTTGCCCGACAACCGCTTCAGCTTATCACCCATTATCGGCTTTACGGCGTTTATTTGAAGATCTGATTTTATTTTGTTAGTTATGGAATGTTTGACATATTTTTTCTCTGGTGTACTACAACAGCTTAATGATGGTTGGGTCTTTTGAGATGCTATTCTATCTCTGTATTATAATTAAATTCACAAATTTAAAATCTCTATATACACTAAAAATTGTAAAATTGATTAGACTGATTGAAATTGATTAGTAAAGCATATTCCCTGGAGAATAATGATTAAGAAGCTATGGTTTGAACTTGAAAATAAATTAATTTGTATTGAATTGATATTCAATTATTTTTTGTGATATTACTCCACTAGTTTGTTCTAATTATTAATACAAAGATCGAACACGTAGAAAAAATTCTAGCAAACTGTGGCAGGCGCTATGCCAACTAAGCTACGGAACGAGCCAGCGAACTTCACGATGTGTTTGTGCACTTGTGTTTTTTTCTATGTGCTTGTTGTCCGATCTTTGTATTTAGTTTTCAACGATTTTTTAGCTGTAGCGTCATCAATAAGAAATCCATGAAGGTATTTCGTCACCCAGTTAGGTAACTTCACAGGTACCAGCTATTGAAAATATTTTCCTAAACATGCTCGGGAATGTTTGAGTTATTATCGAAAAAAATATTAGACCTAATTTAGTACAATGCGCGAATTGGGCATCTGGCGACATGCAATTCAGGCATTTTAGGTCTCTTTTAGGCACCATTAACTGACAAACAAGGTTGAATATCAAACGTAGTTGATGTAGTATGTTGACACATTGTTTCCCAAGGTTTCACATTGTCGAAACGGAAAGGATACATTGGCCATCGGACTCGGTGACGTCCTCGCCGGGCGGGTCGAGCTTGGAGAGCACCTCGGCGTCGGGCCACTCGTCCAGCAGGCGCTCCTTGAACTCCTGCAGCTGCTCGTACTCGTTGCCGCGGTACACGAAGCCCTGCGGGGGCGGAGGGTGAGGGCGGGCGGCGGGGGCGGGGCGGGGCGGGGCCAGTTACGTACGTGCGGCGTGCGCAGGTGGTCGGGGAAGCCGCGGCCGTGGTACAGCACGCGGTAGTAGCCGGGGTGCGAGCGCGGCGTGCGCAGCATGCGCGAGTACAGCTGCGCCAGCTGCGCGTGCAGCTCGGCCAGCGGCCCGTAGCCCAGCGCCTCCTCCTCGTACACGGCCACCAGCTCCTTCACGATCTCCACCGCCAGCTCCCACTGGTGCCCGCGGTTCAGCAGCTCCGCGATCTCGTTGTACAGCACCTCCTACGGGGAGGCGTTCTCTTCGCTTTATTGCGTTCTCTTTCTTCGCTCGGAGAACAAATTTCACTAAGGACCATCGTGAGCTACAATGACGTCGCGCACATGCGACTATTTTTACAGATCTAAGTCGCGTCTATTTGTTTCGGGTTCTTTAGGTCACGGCTGACTGAAATGACACGAAGCCCGTAAAGCTCGAAACGTTAGTTTCGTTGAAAAAAACCAACAACGAACATACGCGATATAGCTCCAAAAACAAAATAGTTTCATTCCAATGTGTAGCAATAGCGAAACCATAAAAAATCGACACGAAGGATTTCCAACTCAATCGGCAACTGCGCAAGACGTTGAACTGGCCATCTTTAGTGGGAAGATGAGAAGAGAGTGCGCCCCGGCTAGGAACGGTCGACAACCTTGAGGTCGCGATGCGTCTGGTGCAGCGAGTGCGGCTGCGCCGGGTGGCGCAGGCGCTGCGGCAGCGGCACGTCGGACCAGTCCAGCAGGATGGCGTGCAGGCGCAGCGACAGCCCCGCCTCGGCCCACTGGTGCGCGTCGTGGTGCATCTTGGCCAACTTGTGCACGTACCTGGAAGCGTCAGCTTCACATTCAACCCTTATGCCGATCGTATACACATCGTTACACTGAATACGTATTTTTAAGCAATGTTAAATACTTCGTATTTATATTAATATTTAATTTTAAGTAATATATTAGAATAAATAGATTTATCTTCAATTTGTAATAACTTTAAACTAGGTTGTATGTACGTAAACATGCTAAATGTAAAAGAACTCTCTTCTGTCAAAAATGCCTGTACTTTCGTGTCTTCCCTTCAACAATAAACCCGCATTACTTTTTAAGTTTTTTTTTGTTTTTAATTCCAATTAGAAAATGAATAAGTCTGAACTAAGCAACTGCAAGAAAAAGGACGTTTCTAGTCGACAGTATTTTCATGTTACACGATTAATCCAAGATTTGTAATCCGATTTCTATATTAATCGTTGGAAAGCGGCTAGGTACCTCAGTAGTAGTCCCATTTAAATTTGAAGAAACTTACTAATATTATTTCACGTCTCAGCAGTTACAAAACAAAAGGTAAATAAAAGATTCCACAAACTTCTGAGCTCGGTTTTTTATCATAAAGTTAATTAGACGCTTACTATTCGTCAGACATAACAGGTGAGATTGTGGTTGGCCATTGCGGTTGTTGGTATGTCTTAAGTTTTCATCAGAAAAAAAAACTATTATCGAATATGCACAATAAGTGTAAAAACGTTAAAGACATCGAGTATATAACCAGAAATAGAGACGAAATGTCACTTAATTTGTTTGAAAACTATTCTGCCATATCATTACTGTGACAGCTGAGCTCCGTCGTCGGGTCGTCAATTGTTTCACTTCAAATCGACCAGTTAATTTGAGCTTGGCTTTGAGCTTATAATGGACGAAAATTACATATTTAATATTTAACTACCGATGAAATTTGATTCTGTTTGTTTTGTAATTAGATGTCTTGCTGTTTTTCCCCACACCACCGAATGGAACAGCACGCCATTGTTAGAGATATTATCTTTATTACAATACATACAGAATATTTTTGGAATATACGGAGACATACACACAGGTCAGTTGTTGGCGCTGTCTATATTTCAGTGCAAACGAGAGTTGACATTTATAAGTGATGTATCACTGACGAGTTATCAGGAATGTGTGGCCCGTATTTCGTCTATATTTCTGGTTATATACTGGATGGTTAAAGGTAGTACCTAATATACATGTGCGGCCGTTCGATTTGTTCGTAGAAGTGTAGCACTCTGGTCGTTAGATGCATCCTGTGAGGTGTCGCGGACCGGAGCGCCGCAGTTCGGTACTGGAACGCGAGTAAAACAATTTAGTGAAGGACCTTTCAGAAGCTTGGCATTTACAAACTTGTCAGTGGCGAATTTTAAATATTATGAATAGTAATATTAATTTTATAGCATATCATAGTGATTTACTACCATAATGGAGCAATGAATCAAGAGAGTTGCCAATCGCAATACAAGACAGCGTAGCATTAAGTACCTTTTGGTACAGTAGATGTCGCAACGAAGTACCAAATAACTATTTTTGTAGCCAATTCATTTTCCATTAGCGCGTTGCAATTGATAAATTGCTCTAATTTCTAGTGATAACAAACAAATCGACTAGATGGCGCTTATTGCTAAGATTTTATGGATACTGCCGGCTATTCTTTTTGTTTAAGATTCTCTATCTACCTATATTAATTTGTAACTCACAATGCCATCTATTGACATTCATATTTCGACCCCTCCTACGTAAATCTAAAAGTCTAAACTTAGTCCTAACTAGCGCATCTAACACTTTACACTAAGCTTCTATAATTTTTTTTAACCTATTTTAGATTAGCAAAGGCGAATTTCATAATTTTTGTACTTGCGATTATTTAGCACTACTTTATTTTAATTTTATTATTATTATTAATATTTAAAACTAATTATGAATTATCACTTTAGAAAAATGGCACTAAAAAAGACACGATTTATTATATTTTATTCAACTTTTATTATTATTATTATTATTTTAAATTTTTCCCTTGATTATTTTGAATAACCGGTTATGTCAGAGATATTATTATTACGAACATGCATTACGCACACAACACAGAGATTTTTATTTATTGAAAATGAATACATCAAAATGGGAAATAAATACACGTAATGTAGCGCAGTGTATCATAAAGAGTCGTCCATAATTGCTGTGTTCTTACCGGCGTTTGGATGTCTACTGAAACGTGGTAGATGACGTCACGAGAGCCGTGCGATTTACGCATGCGTGGTTCAGAGACCACATGGGCTGGTATTGCGATTGGTGTAAACGTTGACTGTAATCAGACTGCTTCAGGAGGAGCTTTGCCGCTTAATAAGTTTGTGTATTTTCATTGCGAGATATAAGCGTCTTGATTGTTCTTTCTAGTTATAAAGTTTACGGTTAAATGTTTAATAGAATGATAATTAAGGCTTTTTTAATAGCTGTGTGACATATTTACACGTCCGTCTGTCATGTAGCATGTCGAAATTACCAAGTTTACAGAGGAGCGTTTTAAAGTTTTGAATACACTTAATTTTTTTAATTTAATAATAACGCACACACTCAACATGAGCACAATACGTGACTTTAGCATTTCTCAGTTTTATTCGGCAAAACTTACTTAAGAGTTGATCATCTAATAGATCATTATAAGCTATTTTTATCTAGCACCCCCGCTTTTATTCATGTACAATCTCTCTCCATCCTAAGGTTGTCTGGAAGAAATCGCTGTAAGCGATAAGACCGCCAATTGTTACCCGAGTAATGTGTTTAGTTTTGTCCTGTATACTGTAATCTGTATATTGTAATGTGGTGCTAACAATAAAGAATTTTCTATCTATCTATCTATCTATCTATAGATCATCTAACCGATATCTAGGATTTTATAATACTCTATGTTAGTTAAAAGAGCTTTGCCGAATAAAACTGAGAAATGCTAAAGTCACGAATTATGCTCATGTTAGTGAATTCAGAACTTTAAAAGGCACCCCTGCAAACTTGGCAATTTCGACATATGATACTTTACGTCTGAGGGGTCGATTTGTCAAAGTTCAGAAAATAATTTTAGTTCATGATCAGTATTTGAATAATATTGCAAGGAAAAAACTGACTTCGTATATTTCATAATAAAGAGGTAATTAATGGTATCTACGACCGTTTACATAATATAAACTACTTCTAAGCTATTAATCAAATCTAAGACAAAATTTTGGCGTTTTCCAGAGTTAGTCTGACTTATTGGTCCATTCTACCGTAACGTTCGGTCTATTTTTCGACAAGTGCAAAATCCTACCTTTACCCTGCCTATATGTTAAGGAGGCTGCTAAGTTTGTCCAGAAACATCCGTCATATTTTGAAATCGCACACAAAAGGAACCATAGGGCACTTTTAGTTCAGCATTACAACAAAAGCTTTTACGTAATGTCAATCAAGATATAGAACAGCATCCCGAATGAATTAAAAAAATTTTAGTACGTAAAATTTAAAAATGCTCCTCGTAAATAGCAGACTTTTTGACAAGAGTTCTTTGGCCATAATGACAAATTTTTTATTAGGGGTGTGACATGTTTATTAATAATTGCTTTTTTTTTTTCACATATATTAATACAATTTAATTTAAATCTGTGGCATTTAATAATATTCTACATCTTAACAGGTAGACTATAGAGCACGAACCAATGTAATATTTTAAGACCTTATTTAATTATCAATAGTTATGCAATCAATGTATTCTTATTCATAATTTTGTGTGAAATTACTCATTTGTTATAATAATTAATACAAAGATCGAATACGAAAGTGAATTCCTTCGGTTTGTTAGATTCGAATCTGTTGCTTACGGCGATAAAAGTCGAGAAAGTCCAATACAAAAGATTTCAATCAATCAATCAATACAAATCGATCAGTCGACTCGGTGTAGTAGGAGCAGTGCTCCTTGTGGAAGAGTTCGTCTAAGGAAGTGCTGCCACGTTACCTATTTTTGCCGCCAAGCAGTAATGTCAGCTATACTGTGTTCCGGTTTGGAAGGTTTTTGAATATTGAATAACAAATGAACGCGGCAGTCGCGCCGTGAATTTTTACGTCATTCGTCGTATCGCGTTTATGTGCAAGAGCCCCTGCGGCCCACGAGCTCCTTCAGGTTTAAAGTTGACGATGGCGGCACAGGGCCGTCGTCAGGCCGCGGAGGGGCCCACCTGCAGCAGCGTGTCCAGCTGGCGCGCGGCCGCGGCCACGAGCGCGAAGGCGGCGGGCCGCAGCGGCTCGGCGGCCGCGCCGCACAGCGCGCCGCACAGCGACACGAAGCGCACGCGCCACTCGGCGTCGCCGCAGCCGCGCTCCGCCAGCACGTCGATCTTGTCGATCAGCTCGCTCTCCAGCTCCTTCAGCTGGCCCGCGCCTGCCGACCGCCCAGCGCGCCATGTACTAGCGGCTACTGGTTTCATCGCGCTTATTCAACACAATCACATTTCTTCCGTAGGTCATGCAACTCCAACTAAAATGTTGTAGACAGCAAACACGCGTACGGCCATGCAGGATTGTAAAGTATTTAAGCAGCGTGTGGCCGAATCGCAATTCTGTTTAGATAACATTTTCAGTGAATGTTTTCATTTTGAACTTAAGTAACCTCCTTGCTTGAGCTTGAACCTGACCTACGGAAGTATGTCGTGCTACAAATATGACAAATCTCCTTACCGACTTTGTAATGGAAAAAAACGCCCGTGGGTTTTATTTGGGGCATTTTAGTCAAGTTAACGACAATGCAATCGTACCATTTACAAGCAAGTGTGATGAAAAATATATTATCAAAGTAAATTATTTTTAAAACCGTTGTGTAATTAGATCAGCGTTGTTGCCGTGAAATTAAACAGAACATAGTGCAGCGTTATTATTAGCAATATTGTGTCCATCTGTAATTACCATATTCGGGTTCGATTTATTTCTTTCGTGAGTTTGAGTGTAATTTACAGTTGTCTACGTGTGTGTATCCGTGGCATCCGCGATACAGAGAAACCACACACTCGTGTGTGTGTGCGTTATTAATTAAAATTGTAGAACATTGGAACCATCTCCTTTTCGAATTTAATACACCTGAATACACTCTTTGATTGTAATTGTGATTCACACTATAAGAAACTGTTAGTGGTCGATTCACCCTCGCCCCCGCCGCCCCACTTGCCTCCGTCTAAGGCGCTCGTGTTGAACTCCGTCTGCATCATGTCGAAGAACAGCGGGATGGTGGTGTTGCGCACCTCCTCGTCGGGAAGGAAGCTCACCTCCAGGAAGGGCCCCACCAGACACGGAATAAACGATCGTTTGTGCTCGTCTGAAAAACATCATAGAAACAACTCCTGTACCTTTCTATTGATTTTCAAACGATTTCTAAAAAAGAACTTTATGTAATTATTGAGTTCCTAGGTTTCCACGATTTTCGGACTGATCTGATGACCCGGTGACCGAGCTCGATACGTTAGTTTATTTGAAAAAACAACTATATTTTAGATTTGAAAAAATAGTTTCATTTTATGTAAATATTTTACTTGAAAATAGAACCTCTCTGGCATACGTGACATGCCCTTGACGAGCGTTTTGTTCCTGCTTCGAGCAAAAAATTACATAAAATTACAAAAATTCTATTGCGTTCGTAACACTACCGTCCTTTTCATAATTAACGTAATCGACATTTTTAGCGAAATCAAGTTAACATATCTGGGATCAGCGATTCGTGATCTATAACCCCTTATAAGCATTTTTACATCTTATTTAGTTCAGTCTCATTGCTAAGAAAACCGTAATTGACATTTGTATCGATTCAAGTGCGATACAGAAGCGCGCAAAAAGCGCGTTCGATACCCGTCTGTATCGCGTTTTACGAGTGTTTGAATCGATTCAAACCCGCGCAAACGTCGCATTGTAAGCAAGAAGTACTCCACTGTAAGTGTAATCTACTAAGAATTTCATGTAGGTGCGTCATTTAAAAAATTGAAATTAACAAACGAAACTAAAATTAAATAAAATTAATAAAAAGCTATCTCTTATCAAAATGCGCGATACATACGCACGACTACAGCGCGTCTGCGGCGCGTATACGCGCAGACGGCGCCACTGAATTTGTGAACGTGTGCAAAGGTTTACTCAATGCGACTGCATCGCGTTAACGCGTGTCATCTGCGCAAACGTCTCGTCGTCGTGTATAAAATACGTCTTGTGCGTTGCCTCTTACATACCAATATCTCGAAAGTTATCAAAATGCAAACGCGTTGTTTGTGAAAGGGGGCCACAACAGAAAAGAGGAATTGTATCGAAATAGTCATTAGGAGTTTTTAAAAATTATTTTAAATAAAAAAAAGACTATAAGAACAAAGATCAACCACGCATCATTCGACAATGCAAACACGTTATTTTTGTCCTTAATATAGGGTAATTACCCAAGCTAAACCACATATCGGCCAACGCAGCAGCAGCAGTCTGTCTGATGTCTCCGTACAAAGCGGTCACTCTCTGTTTTCTCGCAGCTGGCAGAGTCTCGAGTTGCAGCGTTGGTGACGTGGCCAATGCAGTGATAGCTCCGAACCACTCTCGACACATCAAATGGATTGTCGCCAGAGCCTCTGTGCTTGTGTCATCGATAGCGCGCAGACGATCGCGGATTGTTGTACCTAGTAATCTGGGAAATATAGAACATTATTGCAGAAGCCGGGGAGTAAGGTATTGCCGGACGAGTATGAGTTACAAGACCGGTGCAAAGACCTTGTATTACAAGACAGGCAATCCTCCTTCCCGCCGACGTACATATGGTGCTTTTCTAAAACAATGCGAGGAAATGACTAAGCAAGTAAGCAGAAAGTAAAACAAGTTTAAGTTTTTATTGAATGTTAGGATATTTGTTATAATTATTAAAGAAAGATCGAACATTTAAAAAAAATCACTTCAAAAAAGAACAAATGTTCACGGCAAAAAAGGCCTTAAAAACCAAAACAAACATCTGCAATAAACACATGGAAAAATTCGTCGGGTCCGTTGGTTCGTTCCGTGGCTTAGTTGACATAGCGTCTGGCTCGGTTCGCTGGAAGACTTTGGTTCGAATCCAAGCGGATCGAAGTGATTTTTTTAAGTGTTCTTTCTTTCATCTTTGTTCATGGTACCACGATTTCGTTTAAACAAGGTAAACGACTTTTCTATGGGGAACTGTATACGTTTTTACAATAACATTCCGGAGCATATATTAAGATTATCATTTCCTAAGTTTAAAAACTACATTAAAAATATTTTGGTTGAAAAGTCACATTACAAAATTGAAGACTATGTGTTAGATAAAGATGTATGGAAAGGCGCCATGGCTCTAGATTCTACACAAATTTGCTTCAAAGTGTATTCCATAGCTTTTAAGTTTATTTGAAAAGCGCAAACTCTAGAGTTTCTTGCTCGTTCTTCTCAGGGAAGTCAGCGTAGTGAACGAGCAGTAGCTTAAATATGACGTCTCCAAGTGTAAATTTATTTTACCAATGAGAATACAAATTTTAAATTATGCGGAGTATACTACATTTCACTACTATATTTTCATTTCACTCTCCTCACTAGAACAAATTTTCTCAAGGACATAAAAAACACAAGAAACTAAAAATAACAGTTCAAAGTACTTTTGTCGCCATTTTTTTAAATATGTGGTGCAGGTAGGTATATCCGTGCACCACAATTAAACGCAAAACAAGTAACACCGTAGACTTGAACTTGATGAATTTAATTATCGCAATTACGAACACTGATGCTAGTGAGCAGTTTTATTTAGTCTGCTTACACATAGCTCTTTGTTAGTAGCATCGACACCCGTCGTCAATGGGTGTCTTCAATGTTGTTGTGTTGAGCTTCAAAGTTAACTTGAGCTTCGCTATAATGGCATGGAAATTTGATCTTGTTTGTTTTGTAATTAGATGTTTTGCTGTTTTTCTTCACACCACCGAATGGAACAGCACACCATTGTTAGAGATATTATCTTTATTACAATAAATACAGAATATTTTTGGAATATACGGAGACGTACACACTGGTCAATTGTTGGCGTGTTTTTATTTCAGTGCAAACGAGAGCTGATATTTATAAGTGATGTATCACTGATTAGTCACCAGGAATGTATGGCCCTTATTACGTCTCTATTTCTGGTTATATACTCGTTTAATTTATTATTAGTTATGATTAGTTAGTAGCAAGGGCCAAGAACTCGAGAGTACTGATAATCGGGACACAAGGCAGCGTAGTCGGACATTTAGTACCTACTGGTACACCAGATGTCGTAACGAGTACCAAATAGCTATTCTTGTAACAATTTGTTTCTTTTTTGTAATATCAAGTGACGGGACGAACAAGTCGTGCACCTGATTGCAAGCTACACGCCTGTCCATAACACTTGCAGTGCCACTCGGAGCTTTAAATCGCAAAGATCTGAGGGGCACTGCCACTGCGCCCGTCATCCTGAAAGGTTGTGTTGTGTACGTTATGTTGAGTGTGTAAGTAAGTTGACAAGTATAATGTGCCTGTAATTTTACATAGACGAGCTGTAATATACCAAAGCTACTCTAATTTCTAGTGATAACAAACAAATCAACTAGATCGCGCTGATGCACAGATTTTTATGGATATTGCTGGAAATGCTCCTATTTCTTTTTTTTTCTTTTTTTTTGCTAATGTGCTAGTATGCTAATGCTAAAGTGTTGACTCAATTAAGGGTTGCCACCATATGCAACAGTCAAACACAAATTATTTATACACATAATATGCACAGTTATTCACACTTTTAATTTATATAACATGTAGCACAATATATGCATTTTAAATACCAAATATACAAAGATATGATTTTTTTATGATTAGCGCCATCTACCTATATTAGGAAGCGTTGATTTATAAATTAGTTTGTAACACACAATGCCATCTATCGACACGCACATTTGTCAAAGTTCAGAAAATAATGTTAGTTCATAATCAATATTTATTCAAATTACAAGGAAATTACAAGGAAAAAACTGACTTCTTATACATATTTAATATTAAAGAGGACTTAAATGATATCCACGGTCATTTACATAAACTACTTTCAGGATATTGATCAATATCATCTAGATATAAAACGGAATTTCGACCTTTTTAACCGACTTCAAAAAAGAAGGTTCCCAATTCGACTGTATTTTTTAACCGACTTCAAAAATGGGAGGAGGTTCGCAATTCGAGTGTGTTTTTTTTGTATGTATGGTTACGCGATAACTCCATTAATCGTGAACCAATTTTGATTATTCTTTTTCATTGGAAAGAGGGTACCTCAGTATTGGTCCCATTTAAATTTGAAGAAAATTTTCCACCTCTGAGGGTGGCAAACTAGGGGTTGAATCCGGTTTCGCGCACTTTCCGTTAACAGCTTGCAATAAAACTAAGCAAATAGATTGAAGAGAGAAGAAATTCCACGAACTTTTAAGGTTGGTTTCTTTTATAAAAAAAGTTAGAATCCTGAGTTACGATCAGTTACGATATGAAGTATTACCGCTAAATAAAATCCAACTCCGATTTTACTTCGCTTTTATTCGCATTTATTAAATTCACTATTATTATCTAATTTCACTATCTAATCTTACTATCTGATCAAGACTGGGCTGCTCCTCAGCACGGGTCTTTTATAACTTTCTTTGAGGTGGTAGTGTGAAGTTAGGTGCGAGAATCATAGAGGGATCCATAGTAGTACTAAAATAGTCAATAGAAGAACTAAATAGGCGAAGCGTAACAGAAGACTAGCAATTCTCTTGAATTATTGGTCGATGGTGTAAACTCACCTAAGAGCGTGTAACATAACATAGTGTTGCAAATGCAGCATGTCAGCCCAATGCGCTCTGAACACGGGCCGTTGCAGCAGGGCTAATATGAGCGCCAAAGCGTCTGAGACCAGTGACCCCGCGCCAGCGTACGTCTCGGTTTCTAACGCTTTGACTACGGCCGTGTACTGCTCTTCTGACATCTGACGGACCATATCCAGAAGGACGCAGATTAGGCGTCTCTGAAAACACAGAAAAAGTGATCGTTTAACATCATCAACCCATTGTACTTCCCACAACTGGGTGGGCATGATCTCTGGCAGTACCACTCAGAACTTTAAGCCTTAAAACCTGATTTTCAGCTATTGGCAAAAACTTTTATTTATACATAATATCAAGTGACGGGACGAACAAGATCGTGCGCCTGATGATGAACTATACGCCTGTTCATAACAGTTGCAGTGCTACTCAGACCTTTAAATCGCAAAGATCGGAGGCACTATCACTGCGCCCGTCACCCTGAGACATAAGTTGACAAGTGGCATGTGCCTGTAATTTTGACCTAGTACTTATTTATCACATGTAACAGTGTATATAATTATATATACACTGTTACATGTGTCACAGGTGAGCTTATAAACTCCCGACTTCTTACCACTTTCCACTCTTTCCTTGCCATTGCAATGTCTAGAGCGCAAAGTGTTATTTGTCTTAAAAGCAACAATTATATTATTTGATTTCAAAATTTTACAAATCTTTTCTGACAAACAACGCTTCAGCAATCAACAACCCCTGATGATGCCTCGTGGAGAGGGTTGCGGTTGTGTTATTTATTTTATTAATTAAATGGAGGGTGGGATATTAACTGCATGAAAAAAATGTTCAACACAAGCGCAGCTTTTTTACATGATGTAACCTTCACTGGGTTCGCGGAGTAGCAAATTAATTTCCATTTTTATAAACATGGACTTCCGCAAAGTAGCGCCTGGCTCTTTTAATCACTAGTAATGCTCACATTACTGCTTGGCGGCAGAAATAGGTAAAGTGGCAGTAGTTCCCTGGACGCACTCTTTCACAAGGTGCTCTACTGCTCCAAATAAATTACTGTCGTACTTTGTGGTTTTTCAGTAACTCCCAATGAACGCTCAGAACTTATTATAGGTAGGCACTATAGTGAGAAACAATCCCTACAAGTGGTGAAACGATGTATTTGTTATATACATACATACAGCACCACCCCCTAGATTAACGCTTTACCGCGGGAGTTTCAAATTCGCTGCATCTAAGTGTTGGAATGATTTGCCTCCTCCAGTACGAAACTCAGTCATCTTGTACTTTTAAAAGAAAGTGCAAGCTTTGGTTACTTTCGAGGCAAAGGTCAGAAAGTAATTGGATGTAGTTTGTAATTATATTTTTACGTGTGGGTGCTGTTCATCTCTACCTAAACCCCAAATTTGAGTATTTTTAGGTGGAATATTTTATCTATCTCAGGTACTATAAGGACAATAGATTTATTATAACTTTAAGTGAGTATATATATTATATATATTTATTATTTTGTGATATCTTTTGGAGCCACTCGAGACACGTCAGACAAATACTATGATTAAAATGTAGCGAGTTTCAAAAAGGTAGGGTCTGAAAAACAGCTTAAGCTGAGACTCTATCCTTTTTATCTACACAGTATCTATAAGTGATGTTATTTACGACTAAATTGTTTTGTAAATGTAGATAAATAAAGTTCTTTATTATTATTATTATATTAGTTATTTAATATTGTTATATTATTATAGGAGTTATGTTCTCACCAGTACAGGGTCGTCAGCGAAACCCGCATCGGTCTTCATTTCCCGCAACATAGTGGCTGTGGTCTTGAGGACTGTGGGCAACAACCTCCTAGCCAACTCGCCTATGTCCGCTTCCACGGGCCCCACGTCGTCTCTTGTAAGCAAGGACACTACCTCACCGAGAGTTTCTACGCATAGCTCCAACTAGAATGTTAAATTTTGTTAATTAAATTTAACAACGAAGTGACTTTGTTTTGAAATGTGCAAATACTAATTTAGAAGAGTGCAGTAGAAAGATGACAATTGTTTATGCACTTCAAGTATGTTAATGGATATAAGAATTACTTAAAGAGAGATTTTTTTTTAACGTAATTAATAAAAAGTAGTGGTAGAATTTTCTACATTAAAAAGCTTAAACGTATCGATACTCCGAGGAAGAAAGGGCGTAAAGGCCAACATACGAAGTTGAGAAAGAAATGGAAAATAAGAAATGAAACTATGTTTTCGGTTCTAAATCGCGTATATTTGTATTTTTAAATATACCAACGTTTCGGACCCTTTACAGGTCCCGTGGTCACGGTTGACTGTCAAATACACGCGATTTAAATCCGAAAAATATTGTTTCAATTCCTATGTGTAACAATCGCGAAAGCCTAAGAACTCGAAATGAAAAATAAATAAACCTCTATTATGTTGAACTAAAGAAGTCATTGAACTTACTTACCAACATCCCGCTATCTCTAAACTTATCAAATAAATTTCAAAAATTACCTAACTATTTCATAATAACATAATAAAGTCCAAATTGGTCTGTGGTTTAAATTGTTTACAATATTATAATACTAATAAATTTATGTTACTACATAAATTTAGTACTATCAAATTTTTGCGTATGGTATCTTGTTGTAAACGTAGCGCAAATATAATTTTTCTTTCTGTTTGGCCCCATGATTGACTGAATACCTTATGGAATTAAGTCCACTATTAGAACTTATGTTGGCTATTGAAAAAAATATGATGAAAGAAAAAGGAAGCTATTATTAATTAACCTTATTTACATTGCAATTGCCCCCTTTTCATATTTTATAAACAACGCTGCACATCATAAGACATAACTTAAGATATGATAACATTAATTATATCAATTCAGATTGCGATTATTAACCTTTGTTTTTTTGAAATTTTTATACGCACATTTGTTGTTAAAAAAGTTGACTAACTTAAAAAAGTAATTTTTTGTCGAACAACAAAACTTCAGCAGACAGATTCAAAAGAGCATGATAAAATTGGCTTCTACGCACTTTCTACAGGCATCGGACTATGTTAAAATTTGCACATAAGCAACGCTTAAAAATAACATTCTTCTTTACAACAACGCTAAAGACATTCATAAAAAGCTTCAACGGTTCACACTGACCTTATGCACAGGAACTTGGCTGCATAGAATTAAATCATAATCTATTAGTGTTTGAAAACGATGACAAAAGTGCATTAAAATAAAATTTAGGTAAGGTAAGGTACGTGACGAAATGTAGATCAAATTTCTTATCAAACTCGACAACTATAAGCAAGGCTTTCTACAAAGTAGATCGAATTGATCGAGTGGCTTGTACACTGGTTTTCACCGGCCGGGTCAATATGGAAAAACTAACTTTCCTATATTGCCTGGAGACTGGGTATTTGTGGTACTGTCGCTGTTTCCGATTTGCATAACACAAGCGCTTTAGTTACTTACTTTAGGATCCAAGCAACGTATGCGATGTTGTTTAATATTTATTTGTCTATTTCGAAATTATAATGAAATGTCAGATTTCAAAATTAATTATACTCACAAAACTTTGTTAACAAGTTTACCAGTTCTCAACGTTACTAGTATTAACACGGAAATATATTACGTTTGCCAAGTTTGTAAAACAAAAAACCAACAAAAATAAAGTTTTCTTCTTAGATGGTACCTGTACACTGCTAGAAAAGTATCACAAGAAATTTCAAAATGTTTACTTTACGCTTTGACAATAGATGTATTCATGTAATAAACAAATGATGCCCGTTATTATTTTACGTTATTGTTCTAGCGAGTTTGTTATGTAATGTGTTATTTCATCATATTTGCTCGTAAACAATGTAATGTCATGAAATCAAAATCGGCCATAATGTCTCGCTCTAAGGCGGTAATGGTTTTTTTTAATTGTACTGTTTTTAAAATTTAATTGTTTTTTATGTCAAGATTAAGCAAAAAGTTTTTATGCTTGAAGTATAGAAAAAAAAAACCAACATTTGCACTTTAAATTTAAATTATTTTTATAGATTCAAATTCTGCAGAATTTTTAGTGCCTGGAAATTATTTATTTTATACCTAATATATCTTGGCTGTATGCGTTTTTACCTTTTCGTTTACAACGTTTTAGTTTAAGTTGTATTATCTATGGAAGAATTGCTGGCCAACTGTTTATAATAAAAAAAACGAAAAGTGGCGGGCTTTTGAAGTTACAAGTACAGTTTTTACAAAGATTAATTTTATTATAGGTAAGTATAATGATGAAAATACGAAGAAATAATGAAGAAGAAAGTTAGCACTATATTCCTTATTTTAAACCAAATCACGAAAGAGTTTATCCTGAAAATTTCAATAATTACGAATTCAAAGTTTTTGTTCAAAGTGACAATAATGTGATATAAGTGAAAGTGAAAACATAAATATTGACTCCCGCCGCTTAAAACACTATTTAGAAAACCCAAACAAGGGAACTAAGTTATTTAAGAGACAATGAAAACATAATGTTGTAGAAGTGGTTCTATGGAATGGAAAATATTCAATGAGAATCCCGATAATTAAACGAAGACATGGCTCAAAGGACTTGTATCCGAGCCAAAACTTGTTGTTATGTTGAGTGTGTGCGTTATTATTATTATTATTATAAAACTCTTAATAATAAAAAAACAGAACGCCCGCCAATTGTAAAATCCGTGTTGTGTTGTGAAGCGATATTTATTCATACCAGAAATAAATTATCATTGTATCTTTTTCCTCGCAAATGTGATGAAAAACTTTGTATGTAGCACGGGAGTTAAAAAATTATATATCTCGAGTAATTTAAAGACTTCTAATAGACTCTCGTTAGCTATTTCCTATTTGCCGCTATTAATACACTATGTACTAATATTCGTGAGTTAACTTTGTTCATCGATTTTGTGGATTTATTTTTTCCTATTATACAAAATGTTCTTAATTTGGTATTATGTGTATACTGACGACCAAGAGATCAAATTATGTACTTTAGACTAAATCCAACAAGCTGTGGAGTAAATTCTAATTGGAGATTAAATCCTATAAGCTATGGAGTAAAAATCCTGAACGGTTTGAAGTACATACTAACTACATAAATGCATTCTAAACAAAGGTAAATAATGTAAATTTTGACGTAAATCCTACAAGCTTCAGAATAAATCCTAGATGTTTCATAGCAAAACCTACATGCTATATAGTAAATTAAATTAGAGGTATTGTGAGGTGAAAGATCCAAGGGTATGCTAGTGTTGCGAAGGTCAGAAATATATGTACATATAGCTTTCAAAGGTAGAGTTAATATTTAGCAACAT